ATCTCTAGCATAAATACTTAATGCAGGAAAAACAGTGGCCTGGCTCCCGGTAAAGTTATAATATACATCTATCATGACCTCTACAGCTCATTAACTAAAAACTAATATGTTTTTTCTTTATTTCAAACTCAAAAAGATAGGTCAAAATGTCACGTTCTGCTCTGTATAATGGAAATGTTGCGTGGCGGGCTGAAATAAATACAGTAGATACATCATAATCCACTTAACTTCACATGTTCTTAGTTATGTTTGTGAAAATATTAAACAAATGCATTGCAAAGTGTAAAATCATCACTGTTATCAGACAAGAACATTGTTATTGGACACTTCTAATCTTATTATTCAAAGAAATTCAAGCTTTATCCCCAAAATGTCAAATGATACCATGAATTTTTGTGAGACTTTAACTCAAAGCTCAGATACAATATCTTTCTCATGTAGGACATCCCCTGAGTTAAACAAGCCTTAAACACCTATGTGTGTGTGTGTGTGTGTGTGTGTGTGTGTGTGTGTGTGTGTGTGTGTGTGTGTGTGTGTGTGTGTGTGTGTGTGTGTGTGTGTGTGTTCATGCTGGAATCAGTCAGGAGTCAAACACCAATAACAGTGAATCATTTGGGAGCCACGCTGTATTGAATTCTCCACGACACAACCAAACATTTTTTACAAGCAGAACACATGTTTCATTGTGTCAGGATTCTTGGGAAGGCTCTAATACCAACACTGACACACACACAGATAAACACACACAACGATCTGTATATTCTGCTGAAACACATATACTTGAAAGCAGCTCACATCATGTCTCATCAGGCTGCTGCTGAAAGGAGTCACTCTGCACTCTGGCACCTCGCAAACACACACAGACTGTCGGTAGTGGCATTGGCATGTAGCTGCGAGCGCCCGGGGCCAGAGCTGCAGGCCCCTGCAATAATAAACTGCTAATTGAAGGACTGCAGTGAGCGGAGAGGTGTTAGCGGGACGCCCAGCCGCTGAAAGATCACTGCAGCACGCCAGCCAGGGCGCTGAAAGAGACGATTACACCTCGCCTCAGTACCTGGACCCTCTGCTAATGGAAACACACACTCACACACACTCTGCCAGCAAGAAGTATACACTCCTTACATCTGACTGTAGGACAAGCGTACAGGTGGACAGAGTGGCAGGGAGCTTTGTGAGAGTGCCTTTCAAGACGAAACACAGTCAAAAATATATTTAAAATGTATGTCATGTGCTACAGATCTCCTACCAAATGACCAAAGACTTGGAGCAAACTTGGTTAAATTATCAGGGTATTTGGTTAGTGTGAGGTGTTTTTTAGGGGGTTGTTTCAACCCAGTCTCACAAAAAAAAACGTGTAATAACTACGTTGGTCCACAACGTAGGACGTAGTATTTCTACAAAAACGCCTTTTTGTAAGATCCCTACGTTTTTTTTCACCATTCATTCCAATGGCTGGCGTCTATGTCACGTGATCTTCAAATTTCTCCCTGCAGAAAAAAAAAACATGGCCGAACTTCGTTTTATTCTCGGTGTAAAATGCCTATTTTAAAGTTAGTTTGGCCATTAAAATGCGTTTTGATGTCATTTGATGCGAGAAATATGAGTTGTTATTTCAGATTATGTGTGCAGTGGATGTACATGATTTTTAGTTTGCTAGTTATTATGAAAGAGTTACTTTCAGGAAATTGTGTTCTTTACAACGTTCTGTCATTGTTACCAAGGGTGGTTGCTGAGGGACGCTGCTATCGATAGTTATTTTGCTGTTATGTGTGTGTGTAAATGCGGTGTTATCGTTATTGCTTACCCCTTCCCGTCAATGTTGGTGTCCACCAGCGCAAATATTAGTTTAAATAAAATCGCCATTGTGGAATAGTGTGGATGCCGGGAGGAATGGGGAGTCGCAGGCGGAGGTATCAAAGGTTCGCAGACGTAGAGCTTTTCATTTAGCAAAAACCCAGGACCGGCGGAGACAGGGAAATTCCGGCTCCTCAAATGTGCCTGTGCAGAACAATACCCTAACCATAGATCCCCCGTGGTGACATAATGTCAGATCACGCGCACAACGTAGATAAGTTATTTTCCCTGTGCGATCGATCAATGTTTACTCAACAATAACACGATACATGGGTATCTTGGTGTGTTATCTTATTTGTTTGGATTAAATAAACACAAGTTGGCCAGTCCCAGTCAGGGACCACGGCGGAGACGAG